GTACAGATTCCTCAGAAGTACAATTAATTGCTCAGTATACAGATTGAATAAATGCAGTGAAAGGATACCTACTTGATATACAACCTTTCCTGATTTTAAACCTGATAGTATCCCCTTGTTTTTATGTCTATTTTATTTTTGATGCTTCCAATTTTCTTAGATTCATACTTTATATATTCTGTGGTCTGATTACTAATGGATATTTGGAGCTGTTTCTTCTCATTTTAAGTTGTGCCACATCAACAAATGGAAGTCCTGAAAGCTTTACTCAATCCATGTCATTAAAGTCGACTCTATTTTGAAAATGTAGCTCTTTCCAACTTGGAAGATTCATTTTCCAGCAGTATATTAGACAATCTTTTGCTGCTGTTCATAAGGTTTTCATTGAACAACTAATTTTTAGAAACAGATCTCAGATCCTTGTTCTTTGTCAGTTTTAATCTGGAACTTCTGCTGAAACTTGTCCACCATGGATGATCCTGCTAGTATTGAAAATACCAGAGACATAGCTTCTAGGTTCAAAGCAACAGGCAAGCTGCCATAGTATGACAAACTGACATATCAGTGGCAGATCCCTAACTGTAGAACCAGAAATCAAATACAGAGGGTATCACCTTAATAGCATTGTTTAACAGTGATCCAGAGCGCTGGAAACAACCATTTTCCTTTTGCCTCTGTGTGAGCCAGCTGAGGGCACTCATCATGTGTGAGGTCTCCACAAAGATGTATGACTTAGCTTGTGCAAAGGACTTGAGCACAAATGCAGTGAGCCTGTCAAGCAAAGAAGAGTCAGAGACATGAGGACTCCTATCCTTGTTTACTTCACATTTTGCATTGCCTTCAGTTATTGATCTGTACAATTCAGTAAAAAATTAATGTGGTGATTAGTGAGGGGAACGATGCCCAAGAGCTGAATATTCTCTAGTCCTGCAAATATCTTAATCATTATGCTGATATTCAACTCTGCTGATTTCTAAATAGTTTATGCATTGCACTTTTCTTTTTCTTATGAAATTTTTATAAGCATCTCCAAGCCTCTCCACACTAACACTGTCATTTCTGGCATGGTTGTTACCAATTTTACTACATCTTACTACACACTGTTTCTTCCTGTCCTTTTTCCCCAACCCTCCCTTAATGTGCTGTATAAAATCTTTTTCCTTTGCCATTTCCCATAATAACATGTTCTAGCTTATATTTCCATTTTGGAGATCTTTATTTCATGAGCCATGCTGTCATGAACTTAATTTTCAGAGATGAAACTGCGAGATCATCCTGTTAGGATGATATGCTTGTTGGTTTTTATAAGCTAAATCTTTTCCATAAAAGAACTCCAAGTAAAAGAGAGTAGCCACATTTACAGAATACTGAAATATCATGATACCATATGGAAATATATAGATAATATTTAGAAAAAATGATCTTACCATGTATTTCCTGGAGACAAACCATCAAGATTTCCAAAGGTGCTGTATGAACCATCATTGTGCTTATAATTCAACTGTCTTTGGTATCCTGATAAGGAAATTTTCACACATGAAGTAGCAGAAACATTGGAGGATTCCTCAGTATTGTCTTCAATGCTGGTTGAGGAGCCATAGGGTATATATGTTGTTGTGAACCGTTGAGTCAATTATGACTCATAGTGACCCTATAGGAGAGAGGTGAACTGCCCCATAGGATTTCCTAGCCATATATCTTTACAGGAACATATTGCCAGGTTTTTTCCCCCTCAGAGTGGTTGGTTCAAACTATAATCTTTCAGGTTGCACCAAGCGTTTAACCATTGTGCCAACGGTGCTCTTCTATGGTTGTATAGTAGAATATATTATTGGATACTACAGCAACAATAGTTATCAAATATTAATCAAAGGAATGCTGTTTGAGTTTACTGATGAGTATGTTTGGGGTGATTTCTTACCACTGATGAGATGGCTGATGGCTTTGGACTTGATCTTCTCTGTTAGTTGTCGTGTTTCATTCAGATAGGACAGAACATAGATGTTAGGGACAAAAAGGATCATATTCTGCTCTCCACATCCATAGGGCATTTGGACAAGATTCTGAAGGTTTTGTATTGCAGAGCCTAGTATATCACCTAGTGATGAAAATATGTAAAAAAAACAAAAACAAAAAAAAAACAAAAGGAATTCAGAGATCGATTGTTTATACTGGGATAAGAAATAGATTGTTAGCTGAGAGGCCAAATCTCACATGGATGGAAGACTAGAAAGCACAAGGGTGAAGAAAGAAGAAAAAGAAAGGAAAGTGAAAGGCAGACAAATGAAGCAAATGATTCAAGGATTGGGAAAGTAAGGAAGAAACTGAGACAGATGCCACATCTTTTCTGATGAGTCACCTGTCTGGTAAAATGGAACTAGTTATTATTTTCAAATCTACTAGGAAGGATCAATACCTAATCAATCTCCTGAAAATGAGGGCACAGAGGTGATGCTCCTAATTTTTTTTTAAATCGATCAAGGCTTAGTAGGGCAGCACAACATTTACTGGGAGTCCTTTCTGAGTAATAAATAATTATCCTAGGCTTAGTGCTCTTTCTCTCATGTCAATACTTTGAGTGAGGGACTGTGCTAACCTTAAGCGGTAAGACAACACGAACTAGAATTATAAAGATGAACAGCAACTTCCTTTGACTTTAGGACACTTACCCAAAACTGTGTACGTAGCCCTAGTAGATCCTGCAACCACATTTGAAGGAACTTTTAGAGACAACTTTTCAGGAACTCCAGCACCTAATAAATAAATAAAAAATATCCACAAGGACGTTAAGATGTAAATTGAGTGGTCTCCAGTACATAGTTGTTTATAAAGCTATATGATTGGATGTGATCATCAAGGAATACTTAAGGAGAGAAAAAAGAGATTTGCAAATTGAGCATTGTCCTCAAGAGGATTCTAGGTGGTCCAGAGTTGATTTTTGATGATAATTTTTGTATGATTATATTAATGAATATTAGTAAAATACTGGTTTTCTGTATATGTTGGTGACCTGGAATTTCTTTTAAAAATAACTAGCAAGTGACTTAACACAAGATTTTTATATGTTTTTGACATTTACCTGATGCACATAGCACTGAGTTGAAAGTTTCCTCCTTTTCTATTCCTTCAGGCTTTGTATTGAAAAAAAAAAAAAGTAATATGAAAATGAGTGTTTAGGAGGAAAAGCAATTACATTAAAGTAGAGGAAAAACTGATAATAAAAAGAGTCAGCTGTAGATACATCCATATTTTTGGTAATGAAATGTTACTATCACATACTATTGTTGTTAGTTGCCTCCAGTTAATTCTAAATAATGATGACCCATGTGTGCAAAATAGAACTGTGCACCATAGGATTTTGGAAGCAGATCATTAGGACTATCTTCTGAGGTTTTTCTGGGTGGATTTAAACCATCAATATTTCTGCTAGTAGTCAAATATTTGACTGTTTGTGACACTCAGTATTCCCACAAAAATATGAGGTAATGCTATATTTTAAAATAAGACCCTGAGACTCAGAGAAAGTGTATTGCTCACTTACTTCAACTAACAAGGTCTTGACTACTGTATCCTTCTGTCCAAATGATGGAATTTTAGGTTCCTCTTTGTCACACAATTCCTGAGACTGTAGGGCTTCTGCCGATGCTGTGACATTCACCTTCCCTGTGAGATGGTCAAACAGTGATTTATAGCAAATGTTGTTATTGTTGTTAAGGGCTGTTGAGTCAGTTCCAACTTATAATTACCCTGTATAATGTTTCTGAAGAGTGGTTGGTGGTTTTGAGCTGCCAGCTTTGCAGTTAGTGTTTATCCTACAGGACCACACCAAGGCTCCATTTATATCAAATAGTCTCTGCTTTTAAAATTCCCCCAATATATAGAGTTGTTGTTAAGTGCTGTTGAGTTGGTTCCGACCCATAGTGACCCCTGTATAGGGTTTCCGGGGAGTGGCTGGTGAGATTGAACCACTGACCTTGTGGTTCTAACTGACTTTGCCCTCCAGCGCATCAACCCACAGTGTCATACCAGAACTCCAATGTATACAGTGGCTTTCTAATAATAAACTCATTCTTGAAGTAGGAGGAAAAATATGAATCTAGGTTTTCAGAATGTAAGAAGTGAAATGTGCCAGCCTCTTTATTACTCACCCAGTGACTTTGGGGTCACAACCCAGGACACAGTTTTCCTCCCATTTTCACAGATGCAATGAGATTCTGCATTCTTCTCTACTGGGATGGCAACGAAGGCAGAAGAGTTCTCCATCTGTACACTGACCTGTCCCCCAAAAGCATGCACACATTTGAAATCACAAGGCCAATCATAGGGAAAAATACTTAGGGAGACAATGATACTAGTCCATGTTCCTGTTGACATAGAGTTGGTTCTGACTCACAGTGGCAACCCCATATGTCATAGGATAGAACTGCTGCATACGATTTTCTTGTGATCTTTACAGAGCAGTTAACCAGCTGTTCGTTGTGTGGCACCCCTGGGTGGGTTGGAGATGCCAACATTTAGGTTAGTAGCTAATTGCAAGCTGCTTGTATCCCCTGTGAGGAGTCATGAGGCTTTAAGAAATTGTGCAAATAAGGTAAATCATATCAAACACTTTGTAGTTTAGGTGTTTGCAATAAGGGAATTGAAAAGCTGACAAGCATTAGAATAAAGAACATTTAGGATTTAAGACTATGTCAACATAGGAAAGAGATTTCCTTTTGTTGATGTGAAAAAGTAAAATAATCAAGTGGAAATAATGTCTGACTTTAGGAATTCACAGATACAGAAGGCTGAATAAATATAACATTACCACCTTGAACCTGTCAAGTAGCTTCAATCTTAATACTATTTCAGACAAATATTGTGGTTGTTAGTTGTTATTAAGTGTTGCTGAGTCAGTTCTGAATCATAGTGACACTATATATAATAGAATGAAATACTAGCTGACCATTCTATATTTTAGCCTAGTATGCCAATCCATCTCAATACATTATATTCAGTTATGATACATCTTGGAGACCAGAGACCTAGATAATGAATGGTGATTGTGTTCCTTCCTTCTACTTCCACTTTTCTTCTAGAGAAGCACACTTACCCGAATGCAGTAGGACAAATAGTTGAGCACCGTGGCCTTGAGTGTGAAGGCTTCTCCTTGTACCACAGAGTAGGGAAGGGTAAGTTCTAGGAAGAAGGGCTGGAAGACTTGAAGAGAGATGATAGGGGAGAGGCCAAGGCCTGTTGTACTAGACAAGCAGAATGCACTGGTCTTCCATTCTGTGATGGTGTCTGGAACTTTCACTGCTATATCACTTCCACCTGATAAACTAAGGAAGGGAAAAAGAGAAGTGTGAATGACTCCTTTATTTATTTATTTTTTTTTTATAGCAAGAACCATAACTCACCCTTGAGTATAATTTGCATAAATAGTTTACTACTATAAAAGGAATCCTGGTTGCACAATTCTTAGCTTCCAACTGAAAAGTTGGTTCTTCAAACCCAACAGTTTCTCTACAGGAGAAAGGTGTGTCAGTCTGTTTCTAGAAATATGCACAGCCTTGGAAATCCTATGAGGCAGTTATACTCTGTCTTATATACTTGCTGGGTCAGAATCAACTTGATGGCAACAGATTTGGTTTTTAGTATGGTAAATGTTAAGCATGACTTTGACCTAAGATTTGGCATCCTAGTGAGGTATCTTGACTGCTGTTTCCATGAGTGTTGATTGTGGATCTCAGTAAAATGGAATCCTTGACCACTTCAATCTTTTCTCTATTTATCATTATGTTTATTGGTCCAGTTGTGATCTTCATCAGTACGTGTATCAAGTCATCTTCAGGTTATGCAAGCAATGTTGTGTCATCTGCATATTGCACATTGTTAGTGTACCTTCCTCCAATCATGATGCTGTGTTCTTCTTTATATAGTCTAGCTTCTTGGATTGTTTGCTCAGCATACAGATTAAGTATGTATTGTGAAAGATTATAACCTTGATATACACCTTTCTTGATTTTAAAGCATGTAGTATTCTCTTGTTCTGTTTGAATGATTGCCTCTTGGTTTATGTACAGGTTCCTCATGAACATATATGTTCTGGAATTCTTTGAAGTTTTATCAATAGTTTGTTATGATCCACATAGCCAAATACCTCTGCATAGACAATAAAGCACAGGTAAGCAGCTTTCTGGCATTCTCTGCTTTCAGTCAAGATCTATCAGACATCAACAATGATATCCCTATTTCATGTACTGGCTTGAATTACTGGCAGTTCCTTTTCTATGTACTGCTGCAGCTGTTTCTGACTTACCTTTAGTAAAATTTTACTTGCAAGTGATATTAATGATATTGTTCAATAATTTCCACATTCTGTTTTTATGACCTTTCTATGGAATGGGCACAAATACATTTCTCTTCTAGTTGTCTGTCTTCCAAATTTCTTGGCTTAGATGAGTGAACACCTTCAGGATTGCATCTGTTTGTTGAAACATTTCAACTAGTACTTTGCCATTTTCTGGAGTCTTCTTTTTCACTAATGCCTTCACCTTGGACTTCTTCCTTTAATACCATTGATTCATGATCATATGCTACCTCCTGAAATGACTGACTACTGACCTGTTATTTTTGGTACAGTGTCTGTGTATTCTTTATATCTTCTTCTGATGCTTCCTTCATCATTAATTATTTTTCCCATTGTTTTGTTTTGTGCCGTTGAGTTGATTTAGACTCATAGTGACCCTGTGTAGGGTTTCTGAGGAGTGGCTGATGGGTTTGAACCGCCAACCTTGTGATTCGCAGTCCAGTGCTGATCGTACAGCACCACACCAGGGGTCCTTCAATATTGCCAACTTGAGGCTTGAATTTTTTTTTCTTCAGTTCTTTCAGTTTGAGGAATGCTGAATGTTTTTCTGACTCTTTGCACATTTTATTATAATATTTTACTTTATTTTCTTGGGCTACCTTTTGAAATCTTCTGTTTAGTTCTTTTACTTAATCAGTTCTTTCTTTCAGTTTATCTTCTCTACATTCTGAAGCAAATTTAAGGTCTTTTTTGCCATCCTTTTTGGCATTTTCTTTCTTTCTTGCATTTTAAAGGACTTGTTGCTTTTTCACATACAATATTGTTTGTGTCACCTCACGACTCATCTTGTCTTTGGTCATTTGTGTTCAGTGTATCAAATTTATTTAGGTGGGATATATTCAAGGTGATATTTTGGCTCTCATGGACTTGTTTTAATTTTCATCATCTACAACTTGCCCATGAAAGCAGCAGTGAAGATACAACATAGTGCATTGGCTAAAACTGGTGCAGAAGACCTCTTCAAAGTGTTAGAGGGCAAAGATGTCACTTTGATAACTAAGGTGTGCCTGATCTATGTCACTGTATTTTCAGTTGCCTCATATGCATATGAAAGCTAGACGATGAATAAGGAAAAGCAATGACTAATAAATGCATTGTAGTTATGACATTGGCAAAGAATCACGGACTGCTAGAAGAACAAACTTAACTATTTGGAAGAAGTACAGGTGGACTTCATCTCATGTACTTTGGATGTGTTATCCAGAGGATCCAGTACTTGGAGAAGGATATCATGCTTGGTAAAATACAGGGTCAGTTAAAAAATAAGGGAGACGTTTTATAGCAAGGAGGGGAGTGATTAATTTTTCAATCTAGGAGCGGAGGTGCCTAGGACCAATAAGGGAGAAGAGCAGAGAGTGGGATCCTACCCAGAGAAGCAGTGATGCCTGAAATGGAGCCAGAGATGATGATGTGGAGCGATGGAGCAGCTGGAGACTTTAGATCCAGAGAGGGAGAGTGACTGTGTGCTGAAGACCTGCGGGGCACGGGGGAAGGATTGCATGGAGGGGATTGTAACCATGGCAATGAGAGGATGTATGATAGAATGAATGTAAGACCAAAGTTCTCCCATGTAAACTATCACATAATTCACAATAAAACATTAAAAAAAAAAAATAAGGGATACTTTTAAGGAAAGTTCTGGTGGACTGCTGGTGCTATGTTGTAAGATCGGCACTGGACAGGGAACCACAAGGTCAGCAGTTAAAACCTACCAGCTTCTCCTCCAAAACCCTATATAGAGTCTCTATGAGTTGGAACTGACTTGATAGCACTTAACAACAACTGAAAGAGATGGATGGACACAATGGCTAAAACAGTGGGCTGAGACACAGCAAAGATTGTGAGGATGGCACAGGACCAGGCAATATTTCATTCTGTTGTGCATACGGTTGCTATGAGTCAGAACCAATTAGATAGCACCTAACAAAAAATGAGGTCTCTAACAGTCTTATGTGGCGCTGTGGGTTAATGCATTGGACTGTAAAGCTGGTCTGAATTGAAAGGTCAGTGGTTCAAGCTCACCAGCCACTTCTTGGAAATCCTATGTGTTGGAACCAATTCGAAAGCATTTAACAACAACAACAACAACAACAAGCATGCATAACTTCCTACTTTATATTATGTTAGGTCTCAGGAATCAAGGTTACATTATTTAGCTATGAACTAGATGAATTGTTTCTTGGAAAAGAACCTAAATATTTCTTGGAAAAGAGCAGAGCAGAACTGAAGGGATTTGGAAGTATTGGGGAGGATATGAAAAATTTGTGCAAAATCTTCTCTTAAACCAAATTCAAGTCAACTTACTCGAGTACCACCAAATCCCAGATCCAGGTCTCAGGGAAATGTTTCCGAATTATCTCTTTTACTTGGAAAGTCGGTATATTGTCTGTTGGATAAGCGAATCTTCCAACAGGATAAGGTCCCAGAACTCCTGGTAGGGCTATCGGAGTTCCTGTGAGGAAACAAGATATAGTACTCAGTGTTAGCCTCATTTTATCAGTAATTTTTAAAAGTTGCCCTATTTATAAAGAAGGATAAAATCATTTGCTCAGAGAATGATTATTCTTCGAACTGTTTAACTTGCTAACTTTGTTCACTTTTGTATTCATTCTGTCAGAAGGCTAACACCATTGCTTCTTCAAATGGAGTCTAGAGGTATGATTTCTTTTTTAAACCAGTGAATTAGTTATGTGGTGGTGGTTATGTGCCATGGTTATAGAGATATAAAAAATAAACAATAGGAGACCCTAAAGTATGTGTTACAGACTGTGGGGATTCAAAAAAGAAAAGAATGATTTTCAGTGTGTCCAAAAACCACTTTTACACATACCAAAAACCAAAAACTAAAGACAAATAAAACCCAATGCTGTTTGAGTCTGATCCAATTCAGGGTAACTTCATGTGTTTCAGAATAGAAGTACTCCATAGGGTTTTCTTGGTTATAATCTTTACCAAAGCAAATTTTCCAAGCTTAGTGCATTCAAACCACCAATCTTTAGATTAGTAATTGAGTGCCAATTGTTTGCATCCCTTGGAACTTACAGCTATCATGGTGGAATTTAAGATGATTATTAAAGGATGAGCACTGGAAGAGAATGGGAAACATATTCCAGGGAATGGGATATGCAAGTAGAGATACAGAGGTAGGGAAGGATGACTCAAAGGTACAATGAAAAGCTTACCTCTCTGGAGTAGAATGCTTAAATGGAGTGTGTGTTTGATATAGTAAAGTAAGTGTTGAGTGCCATTTTACATAAAGAAACACTGGGTTAATTAGGGCAAATAAATTGTATCTGTTGTAGCAGAGGTTAGCTTGATTTTATTCCAGAAATCAGAAGATATAAATTCCAGATTTGTGCCTCAGTTATAAAATAGAGTTAGATATGTCTTTTAAAAGCCCTAGCTATAATAATTCTTTGAACTCTAGAGGCAATAACTGTACATAAGAAATTGTTGTTGTTGTTAAGTGCCATTGAGTTGATTCCCATAGCAACCCTGTATAGGGTTTCCAAGGAGCAGCTGGTGAGCTTGAACCACTGACTTTGCAGTTCAAATGGCTTTGAAGTCTGGTGCATTAACCCACAGTGCCACATAGTGATGATGAAATTAACATTTAATGGTGATTAGTGTTTCACAGTATGCAGGATGAAATGAAGTGGAAAGTCAAGAAGGCAAATTGAGAGGTTTCATAGTAAACTGGTTATGCAATAATAAGGGTCAGGATTAAGGTGGTGTAACTGAAAACATAGAGGAAACAATAGAACTCACCTTCATGGCTCAATTTTCAGCCAAGCAATAGGTAGATATATAGGGAAGACAACAAAATAGTGAGGTGTGCACACAATAGAATAGTCACCCATTCAAGATCAAAAGGGCAGCGTTTACATGAGGACACACTTAGAAGGAATGGGAAAGAAGAAGAAAGTGGGATAAGGATGTTACATTGAGGGGATTGTAATCATTGAGATGATACAAAGTGTATGATTTGTCAAATGCAAAAACTGATGATATGCTCTGTAAACCTTCAATTCACAATAAAACGTTAATAAAAGAGGACAGATGGATGAATAATTAATATAGAGTATTATAGAACATGGACTCCTGGTGTAGCGCTTTAGGATAAGCACTGGGCCACTAACTGAAATGTTGGGGAATTCAAACCCACTAGCTGCTCCTTGGAAACCCTATACAGTTGGAACTGACTGGATGGCACTTAACACCAATAATAATATTAAAGAATAAAAGGAGTATAGTGGATTACGAGTTGAACTGTCAACTGTAAGATCAGCAGTTTGAATCTACCAGCTGCTTCACGAGAGAAAGACGAGGCTTTCTGCTCCTGTAAAAATGTACTGCCTTGGAAATGTCAGACAGGGTTGCTAAAAGTCAGAACTGACTTGACAACATACAGTCACCATCACCAACATTACTGAATATTAAGGATAAAAATAAAATGATGGTGTTCTGAATTTTCAAGTCTTTTAGATCACTGTACTGACTTTTTTTTTCTCTTTAGAATAGTGGGAAAAAAAGTACATTTGTTATTCAGAGTGATGTGACAATAAAGAAATAGTGCTTTTCAGGCTTTCTCTCTCTCTCTCTCTCTTTTTTTTAACAAAATACATGCTTTCACATAAACTCATTCTTAGTTTTTTCTTTCTTTCTTTTTTCCATTTTATTCTCAAAACAATATCTTGGTGAATTTGGTGTAATTTTGACTTTAGACATGAAGAAACTGAGCCTCCAAAAGTTTAAGTGATTCCATGAATATTTACAGTTGCATAAATTATAGCAGATAGAAATATTATAAGAACTCTTCCCTCTAGTCTTAGCCTAATGTTTTTTTTTTTTTTTTTTCACTATACCAGTTTGTCTTTCTATTGAAAAAAAAAAAAATCCTGTTCACATCTGTACTTTCAACAAGAAATTTACTCATTGCTTTTCCAGGCAAATAATTTTGACTATGTCAAGATATATGCTTATTCATGTTTTTAAAAGTGCTTTATCCTACTATCCTCAGTTTTTACTAAAAAGTAAAATTAATAGATATTTTAGTAGGTAGAGATAAAAACTAATAATAGTAGAAAATAATACTAAAAGCTAGAATCTTTACCCTCTTTTTTTTTTTTTTATTAGAAAGTAAAATGAATAGCTATTTCAGTAGGCAGAGATAAAAATGATCTGGGCCTAATAGCAGTAGAAAAGAATGCTAAAAGTTAGAATCTTTCTGAACTTTTCCCCATTTCCAGGTGTACTTGAAATACACAAGGAGATTAGTAGTATGTCTTTATAAAGTGGAATAATTTGTTTTAGCCAATACTTCAGATGTGACAGAGACTCTTCATAATCAGAAATATCTATCTGATCTTTCACATTTTCAGGTTTCCTTGTTATTTGAGAATTTCGGGTCAGTGGGATATAGGCAGATATGCTCCAAGCCACTTCCATTCCTGGCCTTAAAAATCAAGTGCAACTCTCCTCCTTCTTCCCCAAGATGCTCATCTTGTAAGTACCATTAGAGATGGTGGAGTCAAAAGATGGAAGCAGATAAGGAGGTCTGGTGTGTGCAGTAAATGATTATATGTGTGGCCACTGAGCTATGGGGGTTTGTGTGTTACTGCAGTCTTATACTGGCTAAAGAGAATTAAGATAGGCTAAGAATGAAGATATTATGAAGGCTTAATGCAGTGGACTGCAAAGTCGGTTTGAATCGTGAGGTTGGCGGTTCAAGCTCACCAGTCTCTCTTTGAAAACCCTAGACAGGGTTGCTGTGGGTCAGAACTGACTTGACGGCATTTAACAACAACAACAAGACTATCTTCATGGGGGCAGTAGTGGTTCAGTGGTGGAATTCTTGTCTCTTCCATGGGAGAGATTCAGGTTCTAGTAGCAGCCAATGCACCAAATATGCAGACACCACCCAGCTGTCAGTGGAGACTTAGCTGTTGCTATGATGGTTTCAGCAGAGCCTCCAGGTGAAGTAGGAGCAGGAAAAAGATTTAATGATCCACTTCTGAAAATCAACCTGTGAAAACTTTATGGATCATAATGGTCACCATGACTTAAAGGCTGTCTTTAAAGCAACCAGCAACATTTTGACACACTAGTGCAATGAATTCATAGGGGATTGAGAAGATGTGAAGTAAAAAGACTACTGAATACTAGGACAAAAGGAGATGATTTTGAGGTCAGAGAGAGAGAATAATAATGAAATGGTATTTGAAAATGATTATGAATAGGCTTCTGTCCCAATACTTAGGAAAGTATCTTTTAATCTCATTCTAACCCAAGAAAATATCCCATTTTCTTCTTTTATTCCAGAAGACAAGTAGATCACACCCTTACCTTGCCCATAGCCCACAGGACCCATTGCATATGAGTAAGGCAGTGCCATCGGACAGAAACGAGGCTTACGGACTTTCGAGTTGGTAAAAATACTTAATCCTGCAGACTGGAAAATTATTAATGGTTAAGGCATATTGATACTCTAATTTTGAGACAAATTTGTATTACATTTTCACTATTGTCAGACTTTTAGCTCATAGGATCATCATGACTATTCCATACAGTAGTAAGATGAGTAGTTTTATAAATGTGGAAATACAGGCACAGAAAATCAAAGGCAGTTTGTGTATGTTAGAATTTGGATAAGAATTGACTTTCTGATTCCAATATCAGAATTTTTTCTGCAATATTCTGATGCCACTTTAATGGCATTTTACATCCAGAAAACTGTTTCATCCTAGAGTCTTTCTTCCTTTCTTCTTACTCCTTAAATAAAAATGTGTATCTATATCTATTCATATTAATATCTATACATATAGCTCCATTGCCTTTATTGTAGAAAGTAGTTTTTATTTTACTTTTTTAACTGTAGGGTTGCGTATTGTTTTTATGCAACATTTTACATACTTTTGCATATTTTCTTCACAATGTTAGTAAAGTTTGCTTTAAGTTTTATTGGCAGAGAAGTATATTTCTGAATAATGGGTTGTTAAGTGCTAATGAGTCGATTTTATTGTGACCCTGTATAGGACTTTTAGGGCTATGAACCTTTGTGTGGAGTCCTGGTGTGGTACTGTGGATTAATGCGCTGAACTGCAAAGTCAGATTCATCCGTAAGGTTGGCAGATCAAGCTCACCAGCTGCTCCTCAGAAACTCTATACAAGTTTGCAATGGGTTGGAACCGACTTAACAACATTTAACACAACGACAAAACCTTTGTGTGTGGTGCTGAGGGTTGATGAGCTGGACCTCAAGGTCATTTTGAGCCACAAGGTCATCAATTTAAGCTCACTAGTCACTCCTCGGAAACCCTATACAGGGTCTCTATGAGTCAGAACAGATTCGACGGAACTTAACAATGACAACAAACTGTTGTTTCTGTATGAGCAGAAACCCTCATCTTTCTCATGGGAAGCAACTGGTGGGATTGAACCACCGACCTTGTGCTTATCCTACAAAGTCATTGTGCTCCCCTTTTCCTGAATACTTGTGCTCAAATCATCCCTTTCACCCTCTGTCTTTTCCTCTTCTCTTCCTAATAGTTCATTTAAACCATCTTTTTTTTTTTTTTAATACAAAATGCACACATAGGCACCCACACTAGTCTGATTCCTAAAACTTCCATGTTCTCAAAATTTTCTTTTTTCAGTGGTATTCACAGATAAATACTACTTGTTTTCTGATCTCAGAGTATATAAGGAACCTTGGACTCTGGGTCATGGTTGTCATTGGTGGTCATGGTATGGGATAGGAAGGAAAAAGAAAGCAAAAGCTCAAATATTAAATAATAAACCAAAAGGATTTTCTTTTCACCCCCATCATCCTCCATATTAATTAATCACTCTGGAGATGTAAGAGAGAGTTAAGCTACTCTCAGCTAAGCTTCCAACCTGTATTAGAAGAATGAAATATGTTTTAGTCAAAGTTTTGGGTCCTTTTAGGTAGTTATAAAATTAATCTCATGATTGTGTCTTTTGTATAACCTGCTCTTTCATAATCTGGCCTAGTTATCGTTAATCTTGAAAATTGTTGTTGTTTTTAAGTGCCATCGGATTGATTCTGAACCATAGTGACCCTGTATAGGGTTTCCAAGGAGAGCTTGACACCAACCTTGTGGTTCAAACCAACTTTGCAGTCTAGTGCATTAACCCACAGTGCCATACTAGGACTGCATTCTAACACATGTTTTGTTAAGCTTTTTTTAAAATAGCTATTTCATTATGTAATTTGCTGAATTTTTACTGAACCCAAGGTGAGGGCTAAAACATTATACTTTGTATACTGTCCTTTAGTCATTCAACAACTATTTATTGTGCAAGAGACCAATATAATGGCTGCCAAGATGTGGCACTATAGGATAAGCACCGGATGGCTAACCACAAGGTTATCGGTTCAAATCCATCAGCCATTTTGGAAACCCTATACAGAGTAGTTATGAGTTGCTATCAACCAAATAGCACTTAACAACAAGGTGTTTACCCTTTTAAAGATATCAGACAAATGGAATATGGAACCTAGTCTTTCATTTGTTTTTATCACACATTAAGATGTCTTTGAGTTACTTGGAATATGCTAATGGTAACTATCTTTGGGGCAACTTGACTAAAGATTTTAGCAATAAAAGTAACCACTTAGTATTTATGGTACAAGAAAAATTTTATGTTTGAATATCTGTATATGTACAAAGTTCTCATACTTCTGAGGTGCCATCATTTTTTGGTTAAAAACAGGAGGGGAACAGATGCTAGAACTTAGAAACTTTGGTTATGTTTATAGGGAAAAGAACTACCTGGAAGATATTGTAGATATCATCATCACCACCCACAAAATGCCTTAGTGCGTAAATGTTTCCATTCTTAATTATGTCTTCTGCAGGGATGCACTCCTCATCATCTTCATTCATAACCCCTCCATATAAAATATTTGGGGCATCATTTGTTTGTAGCATATTATAGACCTGTAAAAACAAAAGAGGGAATCCCTGGGTGGCTTAAATGGTTAAGCACTGGATGACTAACTGAAAAATTGGTAGTTCAAAACCACCTTGAGGTACCTCAAAAGACATGATCTTCTAAAATATCACAACCTTGAGATCCTATGGATCAGTTTTACTCTGCACACATAGGGGCTCCAGGATCAGAATCAACTTGGTGGCAAGTAACAACAATAAAGTAAGAAAACAAAAGCAAAACTACTTCTTGCTATTTCATTTTTAAGTTACTACATTTAATACATTTAACATATTAATTTAATATATTTAATTTAATTCAATACAGAATTGAACAGATCATGGTATTTATTAAACATCTTCAGGCTTACATTATATATATAAAACAAAATAGTGTAAGTCATAGAGTGATAGTAAAGGTCCTAATCCCCTTGTGGACTCTTGGTGTGGCATTGAAACCACAAGGTAGGCAGTTCAAACTCACCAGCTCGCTCCTCTGAAAACCTATACAGGGTCACTATGAGTTGGAATCAACTCAATGGCACTTAACAACAATGATCCCCTTGTGCAAAAAGAAAGTAAACTTGCCAGCCGCTCCTCTGAAATCCTATGCATGGAATCCTATGAGTTAGAACCAATGCAATAGCACTTAACAACAACAACAAAAAGCGTCTGAATTTCAGGGAAAGCTAAAAATCTGACATTTCACATACCTTGAAATGTGGCGAGGTAGGAAGTGACCCTGAAAGACATTTGATTCAACTTCTACCTTTAGATATATTTTTGGTGTGCACTTTCTATAGTTATTTAATCTGTTCCAATTGTAATTTCTTTATTCATAAAATTAGGGTAATAATGCTCACCTCAAAGAATTGTAATAAGTTTATTCATTCACAAAAATGTACCAAGTACCTGCTATACATCAGGTACAATGATAGGCATGGGAAATGTAGTCCTGAACAAGATTGCTCCCGTATTAAGCATAATTATAGCAGAGAATGACATAAAATATGTAAAGAACCTTGTGCAATGGCTGTTGTCAGGGTGAATTGAATTCACTCATAAATAATTTTTTAGATTATGCCTGACAGCTTGAAGTGCTTATCCTCCAAGAACCGAAAGGTTGGCTGTTTGAACCCATTAGCTTGCCCTTTGCAGTTATAACCTACAATTTCCAAAAAAATGGTCTTATCATGTGAATATTTTTGGGTGTCTGAGACTGAAATGGGACTCACTGATTGAGGTGAGAGCTCAGCTTCAGGTTTCATTAACAGCACACTCTGGTCCACGGCACGGAGTGCACAGAGGGAAAGAGGTGTGGCTGTGACCTTCAGGTGGGTGTCTGAAGCTGGCATGCTCTGGGCTGAGGAGAAGCTCAAATTTACCTGCAAAGAAGATAGGATTATAGCAGCAACTTTTGTAATGATCACAATCTCAAAACTCTTTTTCTACCCTGGGATTGGGCTAGTTCTTTCTATACTTCTTTTCTTTTAATCCATCTAAAAGTAAGGATAATTAATTATTTCTGGAATAATTGGAAAATGTAATTACAGTTAATTCAGGCTTTCTACATGCATCCTCTTACATATATAGATTTAAAAAAAAAATCACTGAAAATCTTATGAATAGCAGAGGAACACTGTCAGACATGGGTCCAGAAAATGAACCCCTCAGGTTGGAAGGCACTCAAAATGCGACTGGGGAAGAGTTGCTTCCTCAAAGTGGAGTTGACAGTGATGATGAGAATGGGGTAAAGCCTGTGGGAGTACAGCCCATGGGGCATTCATTTGCTGGTAGGGCACAACTCAAAATGAGGAGAAACAGCTGTAAACATCCATCACTAATCAGAACATGAAATGTATGAAGTATGAATCCAGGAAATTTAAAAGTTGTCAAAAATGAAATGGAATGCATAAACATCAATATCTTAGGCATTAGTGAGCTGAAATGGACAGGTATTAGCCATTTAGAATTTGACAAACACATGCTTTACTATGTCAGGAATGACATATTGAAGAGGAATGGTGTTGCATTGATTGCCAAAGAGAACATATCAAGATCAGTCATGAGGTACAATGATGTCTGTGATAGGATGATATCCATGTGCCTACAGGGAGGACCAGTTAATACCACTATTATTCAAATTTATGCAACAAC